TGGTATTCTGAGTTGAACGTTAACATCCTGACTGTGATATGATACAATATGTTATTAAAATCTCAAGCGACTATCATATCTCAACCATCATGTTAATATCTAATTTAGCTAACCACTAATTTTTTAACGAAAAAAATGATGAATTTAAAATATAATAAATATTTGGATAATTATTTTATAACTTTTAATAGTCGAACTACTTAACAAAGTAATATTCTATAGCCGAAGAATCATTTTATAACTTTTAATAATCGAGAGACTTAATAAAATAATATCGTATAGTTGAAGACTATGTACTTTACCCTTAGATAATCGATCAATGGATAAAAACCAAATTATAAACTAAAAATTTGTCAATAAACTACAAATTTATTACTATAGTAAGGATATTAACTATTGTGGATAGTTGTTTTGTATGCAATTTTCACACATGCTAATTAAGTTATTTAAGATTATTTAATAAATAAAAATAAATCACTGAAATAAACCATATAAAATAAAAATATATTTACTGAAAATCAAATACAATTGAAATTTATATAATTAAAAATATGTATAACTAAAATATTCACCAATAATCTGTGGGGGCATTTTTGTTGATTTGAATTCCGAAGAGATACAATTTCCATTATTTTGTATTATTTTAACGAAAGAGCCATCTTAGCTTCTCCTTCGTTTCAGCTGCCCCAAAGGACAAAGGATCCGTTCTCTCTCTCTCTCTCTCTCTCTCAAAAGAATCAAGGCCGTTGATTTGTGTTATAAAAATCAGTGCAAAAGCTTAGGGTTAGCATTATATCTTAACCTTACGCCGTTCATTCAAAGGAAACAACAGAACTCTACGTGGTTTCACGAGTTTATTATAGCTAACAAATACAGAAAAGTAATAAACAGGAAGCAAGTGCTTGTTATTCATTGTGTTATTTCTTTATATCTTTCTAGTTGAAGCAATCAGCCTCTCACGTTTTTTAAGGAAAACAGTAAGAGCTCTTTGCTTGAAATAATCTGGCTATTGAGAGGTAAGATTGTTGTTCTTTCTTCCTTCTTTTTTTGGGTTTATAATTCCTTTTGTGTTGTCTTTCAAGATGTATAAACCAATGGGTCTCTTTTTTTCTTTTTCATGCGATTTGAGTGGTTTTCCTTCTTGGGTGTTTTCATGAATGTTCTTTCGTGTTTCATGAGATAACCCTGTTTTCATTCTGGGTATTATAAGTGGATCTTTGTTTGTTCTGAATCACCCGCCTTTTTTTTCTCTGGGTTCATGATTTCTTCAAATGATGGGATCAAGTTATTTTGATTTTCTTTATATTATTTTCCATTGGCATTTTCGTTTTGAACCTAAAAGGTAGCTGATTGGGGTTGTGTTCATATGCTCGATATGAAATCTAATTATCTGTTCATTGTTTGACCATTGGTTCTGGTCGTATTTGGTGTGCAATTCGGTTGACTGGTCTTCTCCTTCATAGCTTGGTTTTATCTCTTTTTCCTTTATCTTAAGATTTTGTTCTAGATTTGTGATTGATTTGTTTGAGGATGTTTGATTTCATTAAATGAATATATTGAATAAAAGTGGAATCTTGCTAGAATCAAAGAATACCATCCGACAAAGAAGAATTTGGAGATTACGTGGTTTACAACTTGCCCTTGTAACAAGAATTTGGAAGTTTCCTTTTGTTTTGCTCCAAATCCTTTTGACAACGAAGCATTGTAATCTGATTGTCTGTTCTGTTTTGATTCTTCCATCTAGAGGCTAACAATCCGACATTTTCATGTTGTCTTCGTTGTCGTCCTTACTTGGCCTGAACTCTTCTGCGTCGATATCTACTTTGTAGTTTATGTGATCCTCGTTTTTTCTCCATTATTATTGTCAGGCAGACTGGTTTCTCTTATGCTTGTTAGGGATTCTGTTTACCTAGTTGTTAAAGATTCTTGTTCACTCTGGCCGCTGCAACGAAACTGAAATTTTCTCGCACCTCAAGGTGGGTGTGGGGGGACAAGAAAGAGCTGATTCTGCTTTGTGTTTTAAGGAGATCAAGATCATCCCATATCTGGAGACTGCGACGTGTTTCGGAGGGTCTTTCACTTGATTATGGCTAATGTCAGTATTTGCAAAAATACCTTGGAGTTTGATTACAGCTTGCCACTTGTTTTTACAGTAGTAGAATTAGGTGCTTTCCTCCAGCTTTTGAACCTTAATGATTACAGTAGTTTTAAGCTTATAGCTTTCTATGTAACACGAAAGGTAGGTCTTGTGTGGATGTAGTGCTAATCTGCATCACCACGATGGTTAGATTTTCATGCTTCAATGCTCATATCGGAACCCAGAAACCAAAGGTAAGTCTGTGATTTGCGTCTGGTTTTTGAAAACTTCAGTTAAATTTGGGTTGTATACTATAGTGTTTCCTGACTCGAGTATCCACTTGATCATCAGAAAACAGTTCAGCCATCTGTTGAAGCGATGCATACGACTTTAGAAGATTTTTCTCAAGTTCAAGCCACTAAGAATACGATTACAAACATGGAGTCATTCTTGCCAGAGGCAGAAACGACTGCCGAGATTCATGACCGTGTCAAACCTGTTACAGAGTCTTCTTCTATTTACCATAGCTGGAAGTCATTTGAAATGAAGGACAGAACCAATCTTGATAGTGCTTCCCGGCCCCTTCAGAATCTACACAATATTAAGAAGAGTCTGTCCCTTGGAAGTGGACTTTGCCTGGAAGGAAGAGTTCCTCGACAATTTGATACGGATGATGAGACTGATCAAGGATTTTCTTCTGATTCCCATGACCATGGGTTCGTTGAAGATGGCAGAAAACATACAGTAGTGAGTCAAAATGCTCTGTGCTCAGATTCTGTTCAAGCAAGCTCTAACCATGTCAATATTGAGCCGGTTTTCTCTATAGGAGACCTTCAGCTTTCAGAAAAGGATTACCATGATTTCTCTAATTTACCTTTGCTTTATGAGCATGCAAATGGCTCTGGTTACAACACACCCAATAATGCACCCGTGATTGTAAAATCATGTTCGATGCCAAACATTGCTACATCGACACTCATTTCTGGAGTACTATCTCCTAAATATTTGTCACACCGTACGAGATCCTCTGACGATGTACATGTTCTCAGCATGAGAAGAAAGGAGATTTTAATTCATGATGTTGATACAGAGGTGATGCGAGAACGAGAAAGAGATGATGGCATGCATAAGAATCATAAAACTAACTTTGAAAGCTCTTATGGGGGATGTGAATCTTATAGCTGTTCTGCATCAGCAAAAGACTGGATAGTACCAGTTTCAGATGAGGTGAAAATCCAGCAAGAAGAACTGCAGGTTCTGAATCAGAATGAATCGACTGGCATGGATTTTAAGATTAAGCGAATTGAGGATTGGGTAAATGATCTTCAACACATGGAACTATCCGAAGACATATCAGAAATATCCCACCCTGATGATCAGGTGAAAGTGGAACCTGCTGTCTCAAATGGTTTGACTGCTGCAAAGGTGGATGTCAAGGAAAGTCCTGATATGGAAGCTGCTAAAAGATACATATCTTCTTTGAGTGCCTCGGCAACCACCGCTCAATTGGCAAATCATAGCTTGGTTGTTATACCATTTCTTAGTGGATTTGTCAGCTTGAAGGTGCTTAATCTATCAGGAAATGCAATAGGCAAGTATCTTCAACTGCAATATTGTTACCACTGTATTTATCTTCTATTTTGACATCTTTTGAAGTCTTATGATTAGGAGTATATTTAACTGTTCTTTTGCGTAAGTATACATTATCAATCTCTGTTTCTGCTACAGCAAGGATCACTGCTGGTGCTCTTCCTCGAGGACTTCACATGTTGGATCTGTCGACGAACAATATATCCACCATCGAGGGTTTACGGGAACTTACTCGACTTCGTGTGCTGAATCTAAGCTACAACCGGATATTTAGAATTGGTCCTGGTATGAGAGCCAAACTGCATCTTGTTAGCTGTTCTATTTTTCTTTTGCTATACTCTTTACCTTCCAATATTTTTTATCTTGTAAATCTACTTTCTGTCACATAATTCATTGTAGGTTTGGCTTCTTGTTCCTCTCTTAAAGAGTTGTACTTGGCTGGAAACAAGATAAGCGTGGTAGAGGGTCTTCACCGTCTCTTAAAATTGATGGTTTTGGATCTGCGTTTCAACAAAATCTCTACTGCCAAATGTCTCGGCCAACTCGCAGCAAACTATAAGTCCTTGCAAGCCATCAGCTTGGAAGGTAACCCAGCACAGAAGAATGTAGGAGATGAATGTCTGAAGAAGCATTTGCAAGGCCTTCTTCCGAATTTGATTTACTTTAATCGTAAGGCTATTAAAGTGAAGGATGCTGCAGAACAATCGGTAAGGCTAGGCATCAGTAGTCATCAATTTGATCGCGGCCATAGATCAGAACACAGAGGTACAAGGAAGAATAAACATGGCACTGCCCATGCATCCTCGTCATCTCACAGAAGTCAAGCCACTGGTTCCCCAATGCAGTCCAGGGGCAGACACGGGCGCCACCCTCTTCCTAGCGGAAAGAAGACAATTACCAATCATCGGAATCATTACGTAGATCTTGGTAGTGCACTTCTGAACTTTAAATTGGAGGCTTCCATGCGAAGGATCCAGAGCGAGGGAAGTCTAGGGCAACCGTGAAATCAGGTACTTGGCTATGCTGTGTGGTTTTAGACTATTTTGAATTCAAGTTTTGTTTGTTGCGACTGCAATAAATTGTCACTCAAGGTATTTGGTGTGACCAGGCATTTTTAGAATAGATTTGCCATAATGGGATGGAAGTTCTTACAGTTCTTCCGTTATTTTCTTATATTATGTATGCGTGAAAAAAAAAGGTTATGTATCGTCCTTTCCCGTTCTTGTTAAATTCATAAGTTCCTGCTGTATGGTCACTTGCTCCAAAATTATGCTACATTGGTAAGAATGCCAAAACTATGTCAATTCGCCTACGATATATGTTAACATGTTGTGGAATGAACCTTATTACTAAGAAACAGAGAGAAACCGAGTGCAGCAAACCATATACATAGGCATTGAACAGTTAATTGTCGAAACAAAGCAATTAACAGGAAGTACACAGAAAAACCAAGAGCCCTATTACTATCCATCTATACAAAGCACAAAGATCATCACCACACAACATTTTCACACTTCTTTTGCCACCACAAAGTCTTCAAATTTTGGATTGCTTTTCATCCTTTGCTGCAATATTAGTGCAGGGACCATATCAGTTATCAATCATCTACATCCAGTAATTCAAAAGTAAAAGCCGACACTTAGGCTTTGCTTGGTATGTATGGAAACAAGTAAGGATGAAAACTTTATTAATCGATTCGTAACCACTTTCTTACTTCGTAGCTTAACCATTAGATTAAAAAAATTTCCATCCTCACTCATTTCCCTCGTTTTCATCCTTCATACCAAGCAGAAGAGGTCACTCGGGGAAAAGCCAAACTATAAGTTTGAAAACTGCAAATAATGCATTAAATACTACATGATTAATAGTGTTTTGCCACTAGTTACGAAGAGTTCGGTCACTGCTCCCATGAAGAAGCAATTAAAAGGGGTGAAGGGAAAGAAGGAAAGAATCATAAAAAGGGTATCGGACAGATTAAAGCTTGGAGCCATATTAAGTTACCTGAATAAGAAGGCATTCGTTGTTGCTCTGAGTCATATTAAGCATCTGCTAACAAGAATATTAACCAATGAAATAGAACTTTAATATTAAAATGCATAATTGTTTAACTTAAAGAATAAAAGGTTCTTATAGACACTAAGCTCTTGCATGTTTCTACAGCTCTAGGAACAATTGTAACACCAAAAACATAATGTAAGGCCTAAACCCTAAAGTATTATGTGTTCACTTCATGCGCTGAATTTAGCACAGCCCTCAACGACAAATGAAAGGCTCAATTTAGGCTTCCACTCTTAGTTCTTGCTTCCCATTACTCATAATTAAGTTCTATCCTGATTTTAGCTTACAGTGTTTTGAACTTTTAACAAGCATCTCATCACGTTCATAGAGCCAAAAACTAAATTACCATTTAGCAAAATCAAAATCAATCACAAATTCGAAAACCCAGACCTGTATGCCCTTCTTCTGCATCATGGTACTCTGGTTCCTCTTCAGGCACAGGCTGCAGCTCTACATCTTCTCCAACAATGCTTTTCTTCGTTACCCCGTTCTCTTCCTCCTCTGGGTACCGGACCACCACCACCGGACAAATGCAGTGTTGGACGCAATAATCGCTAACGCTTCCTAGCCTTCCTTTCTTGGGTCTCCTGACGGCTCCGAATCCTCTGCTCCCCATGATCACCGCACTCAACCCTAACCTCTCAACTTCCAAACACAGCCTCTCTTTCATGTCACGGTCTTTCACTATGTGGATTTTGAACGGAACCTGAGCATCCACTAAAGGCTGCGCCAGCGTGTTCGCCTTCGTCGTCGTGAAAACGTCATAATCGTTCTCGAGCTTCTGCTGCGACTCCGCGTCGGGTTGCTCGCCGCTGATGGCCGTGGCGCTTTCGTGATTATTCGTGGAATTAGGGTTGATTTGGAGTTTGATGGATCCCCAGTCGGCTCCGTAAAGAACGGATGTCGGACGGACGTGGAGGAGAACGACGGAGTCTCCCGGACGAAGATAGTTCTGAACGGCCCATCGGACGGCGTAAGCACTCTCGTCGCTTAAGTCGACGGCGATGGCGACGCGGCGCTGGGCACCGGAGTCGAGGGTGGTCAAAGGGACACGTGGAGAAGAGGGTTGGATACGAAGCGGATCCAAGGACGGAACCTGGAGCTCCGGTTCCGATTTCTGGTGGTGTTGCGGATCCATCGGAAGAAAAGATTTGCTGTGAAACTGAAGAATCTGTTGACCTCTTTGGGCTCTGGCAACGTGAAAATCAGAGAAATATCGGCCAGCTCTCACAAATGCTGACACCAGTAACGCTAATTCGCCTCTTATGTAAACTATGTTCGTACGCTAACTTTGTTCGCTTTCATGTTTCTCCTGACAACCTTTGTCTTCTTTAACAAAACAATGTAAAATGGCATTTTAGGTCTCTCGTAGTTTTGAAATTAGTCAATTTGGTCCTATTAAAAAGGACCAATTTAATCCCTATCAGTTTCAAAACCCATGACTCAAGGATAATTAAATATTAAATTAAAATTTTCATATTTTTTTATATAATTTTAATTGATATAATAATAAATTGTTTATTGATTTTTTATAATTAAGATCAAATTAATATAACATGTAATCCTTGATGGCTAAATTTATTATTATGTCATTTGAAATTGTATAAGATTAATGAAAAACATTAAAATCATTAGGCATGTAAATGAACTGAATGTTCAGCGAACCGTTCATGAATCGTGCGACAGAAAGTTCGTTTATGTTTGTTTGTTTATTAAATGAATGAACATGAATAATATTTTGCGTTCGTTTAATTAAATGAACGAACACGAACAAAGGGCTCGTTCATTCATTTACGTTCGTGAACGTTCGATTATATGTTCGTTCAGTTATGTTCGAACAGAGGGCAAGTTAAATATGTTACGAAGATTATTGAAGTTGTTTGGATTTCAAGAAGATTGTTTTGTTGAAGAAATTAACTTTAAGGCTTTATTATGTTCATATAACTTATTTATGATTTATGTATGTTTTTGTCGTATTCGAACAAATTAACTCTAAAGTTGCAGGTTATATTAATGAATTTTAAGTTGTTATTCTTGTTGTTTACTTTTTTTTATATTCATTTGTTGTGTTCGAAAAAGTTTTTTTTTTGTTCGTTTATGTTCGTTTATTGTGTTTGTTTATGTTCATTTATTATGTTCGTTCGTTTGTGTTCGTTTACGTTCGTTTATCATTTAAATGAACGAACATAAACAAACATGAACAAGCTATATTCCTTAATGAACGAACATGAACAAAAAAATTTGTTCGTTATGTTCGTTTATTTATTAAACGAACGAACGAACATGAACATACCTCCGTTCTTGTGAATTCGGTTTGTTTACATGCCTAAAAATCATAGTTACTAATTTGGCATCCTTTTCCGAATTTGGTTCCTAAACTTTATTTAGTGGACGTTAATTCCTGAATTTTATATTTTTTTTCTTTTTGATCCTTGTAGTGATGTGACACTTTGAATGTTATAGTGTCTTGTAATCAAAATGACAAAAGAATCTAAATTCAGAAATTAATGCGGGTAAAAAAGTGTAAGGACTATTTTGAAAATAATGATTAGCTTCAACTACCGAAAACTAGTTTATCCCAATTATAAATTTTAAAAAGCTAGAGGTATAGATTAAGATTAGCGTCAGCTGTGACATTTGACGACAAAACTGAAGCATCAATGTATTAAACAAAGCAGTTTGATGCCTGTGAATAAGTGGTTTAAAAGGTTTGTTATCCCAAGTTTAATGGTGGGATTGGACCACGAAATCAGCCTCTGTTGACCCTCAAGCACTTGCACGTAACCCCATTGCTCAAGTAAACTATTTATTAGTCGTCAATGCTTTAGATTTTTATTGTTTTGAGGAAATCGTATTCAGACATTTGATTTGTTAAATATTTTGTAATAAATATGATACAAAAATTTGAAATTATTTACTCCAAATAATTTAAATATCTTTGAATTTATTAAGCGACATCAGTAATAAAGAGGAGTATTATTATTTTTATTCTTAAAGATTATGAATTCGAACAATATTTTTTACAAGAAAAAAAAGTGAGGAATGTTGATTGCAAAAAGTTTCCATTATGCCAACTCGATAATAGATTATTTTGGCATGACTCAAATTATTTAAGTGGTTAAAGGGACGATTGTTATTCGTAATGATTTCAAGTTCAAGCACGACTATAGAGTATTTAAGTATTCATGGTCAAATGATTGAAAATCTTTAGAACATATACCATTGCTTGTAATCACACTAGATTAATACAAAATAATAGGATAAAGTATACAAATGATCCCCTAACTATATGATACTATTTTATTGAGTTTCTCAACTATTAAAAGTTACAAAATGATTATCTGACTATGAGAATTACTTTGTTGACTCCTTCGTCGTATCTCAGTCGGCATTTAAATGTCCAACTCAGAAGACCGCTAATTTTTTAACGAAAAATGAATAGTTGGGTGACCATTTTGTAACTTTTAATAGTCAAAGGACTCAACAAAACAACTCTCCATAATCAGAGGATCATTTAGGTAATTTGAAATAACCAGAAGACTCAACAAAGCAACATCCTATAGTCGAATGATCATTTGTGTACTTTGCTTTAATAATAATAATACACTATTTTGCATTAACTGTTTTGTTTATTATTAAATGAGGATGACCGCAAGTTAGGCCAGTAAACGAATCGAACGTTCAGCGTGGGATGTTTGTTTATTTATTAAACGAACAAACATGAAAAAAATTATGTTTGCTTAACTAAATGAACAAACACGAACAAAAGACTTGTTCGTTCATTTACATTCGTGAATTTTCGGTAGCCCGTTCGTTTATGTTCGTTTGTTTATATTTAGCACAATCTCCAACCATGTTTAAAATATTAATACCTAATAAATTTTAACATTAAACTCACTAATATTTTAAAGGGTAAATTATGTGTTTAGTATATAAACTATCAATTTTGATCTGTTTTAGTACCAGAACTTTTATTTTTTTTCAAAATCATACCTAACGTTTAGTTTTTGTTTCATTTTAGTACATTTGTTCAAAATTTAACGTTATTTTTTGATTTTTTTAAAGTTTAGGTACTAAAATGAAAAAAAATGATAGTTTAGGGGCTAAACGCATTAAGCTTTTAATGCTGGGGGTATTAAAATGAAACAAAAACTAAACATTAGGCATACTTTTGAAAAAAAAATGAAAGTTTAGGTATTTAAGTGGACTAAAACTAATTGTTGAAGTATTAAATGTGTAATTTACCCTATTTTAAAACCCAATTAATTTTAAACATAAATAAAAAAATGACTCATATCAATTAAATAGAATATGAATCCCGAAATTATTTGTAAAGAATAAATTATTCTCAAATATAAATATATTTAATTTTAGATTCGCTCATTTGTGTTCGTTTATCATTTCAACGAACGAATATAAATGACCACAAACAAATTGCATTCTCTAATAAACGAACACGAAAAGAAATTTCGTTCTTTTTAATTATTTGGGTTGATTTATTTGTTTATTAAACGAAAGAAGCGTGAACGAAACGGGATTGTTTTATTTCGGTTCGTTTACTAAAAGACATTGCTAAAAGATCAGCTTACTAAAAGATCAATTACCGATTGACCAAGAAATCTTACCTGTTATTATTATTTTGAATAGGCCTACCCTGTTATTTTTAGTTGACTCTTTTATTTTTTATTTAATGAGTTTGACAGAACGCTATACACGACATGTAAAGGAACAAAAGCCATACTCGTCCCCTCAACGACCTTCGATTAAGATACAGCAGCGAAACTAACCCCAATGGCAGCCGTTACTTCCTCAGACATGTTCTGTTTTAGCAGTCTGTGACGTGTTCTTCTTATTCTCCTATTTTAAGCAGCCTTTTCATCGTGCTTTGAAATATATCTGTGTTGTTTCCCCTTGCCAGGAAAGGAACCCTCTTACAGGCTTACTGCAATGGTCAACATGAAGAAGCCATGGCTGAAACTTACTATATTACTCTTTATTTGGTTTACTAACTGCCAACTTTCCTTTGGAGCAGACACCATCTCTGCAAATCAGTCTCTTTCCGGTAATCAAACCATTGTTTCATGGGGTGGGAACTTCGTGTTGGGATTCTTCACACCAGGTAAATCTTCCAACTACTACATTGGCATCTGGTACGGTAAGGTCTCCGAGCAGACCCCAGTTTGGGTAGCGAACAGAGAGACACAACACAAGTGCGTGATATACACTCTTCAGAGATGAAAATATCTGATGGTAACTTAGTTTTGGTCAACGGATCCCAAGTGGAAATTTGGTCCACAAATATTAGCTCGAGCAACCCAAGTTCTGTAGTTGCAGTCCTTGAAGATATTGGGAATCTTGTTTTAAGAGATGGTCCAAATTCATCGGCACCTTTGAGGCAAAGTTTAGATCATCCCGCACACACATGGCTTCCTGGTAGCAAGCTTAGCTTAAATAAACGTACCAATCGAAGCCAGCTTCTTACATCATGGAAGAATTCAGAAGATCTTGCTCCGGGTCTATTCTCTCTCTAGCTAGATCAGGCTGGAACCAGTTCATTTATTATTCGGTGGAGAGGGATCAAGCGATACTGGTTGAGTGGAACTTGGGATGAACAGTGTAGCATTTCGGGAGATGTTCCGGAAATGCGATTGAATTATCTCGACGATTTCAGTTTTCATTCATATGAAAACTAGAATAATTTTGCTTATTACCTTAATGGTTCTGAGATTATATCTAGATTCATTTTGGATTATTCGGGGCAGATTAAGCAATTGATATGGATGGAAAGTAGACAGCAGTGGAATCTGTTTTGGTCCATGCCGAAACAACGATGCCAAGTTTATGCTCTTTGTGGGGCTTTTAGCAGCTGTAATAACAATAACAGTGGTGCTTGTGATTGTCTGACGGGGTTTCAGCCAACCTCCGAAAAGAACTGGAACAAGCAGGATTATTATGAAGGGTGTGTAAGGAAGACCAGACTGCAGTGCGACAATGCCAGTGCTGGTATCGGAAATGGGGACCAATTTCTACAAAGCCGCTACTCAACTTTTCCTGAACAAAATAATATGGTTTTCAGCGGCGTGGGATGCGAATCGGCCTGCCTAGAATTTCGCTCTTGTACAGCTAACGGTTTTGAGAACAATCGGTGCTCGATTTGGATTGGAGATCTCTTGAATCTGCAACTACTTGGACAAGATGATAATACCACAGGGAAAACTCTGTCTATCAGGTTGGAGGCTTCTGAATTTCCTAATGAAATTAGTCCCCCAAATAAGAAGTCAGTGATTGTTGCTGTTGCAATTGCGGTTTCTGCAGGACTACTCCTTTTAGGCCTTATCATTTTCACAATCATGAAAGCCAGGAGGCGAACAAGTATCAGTACAGAACCAGCATCAGATTCGCTCATCATTTTTGGATACAGAGATTTAGAGAAGGCAACCAAAAACTTCTCTGAGAAACTGGGAAAAGGAGGCTTCGGTTCTGTTTTCAAGGGGACATTGCCAGATGGAAGTATTATAGCTGTGAAGAAGCTTGAGAGCATCAATCAGAGAGAGAAACAATTCCGTGTAGAAATCGGTACAATCGGGAAGATCAACCATGTTAATCTAGTTCGTCTTCGTGGCTTCTGCTCTGAGGGCTCAAGAGAGTTGTTGGCATATGATTTTATGCCAAAAGCATCTTTGGACAGACATCTTTTCCTTGCAAAAGATTCAGAACCTCTAGATTGGAAAACAAGATACCAAATTGCTCTTGGTGCAGCAAGAGGCTTGGCTTATCTCCATGAGAATTGTGTAGACAGTATCATTCACTGTGACATCAAGCCAGAAAACATTCTTTTAGATGTCGACAATTGTCCGAAATTGGCTGATTTTGGGCTAGCAAAGCTTGTTGGACGAGAGTTTAGCCGGGTCCTAACAACCACGAGAGGGACAGTGGGTTATCTTGCACCAGAGTGGATTTCGGGAGTGGCTATAACACCCAAAGCTGATGTTTTCAGCTTCGGAATGATGCTTTTGGAACTTGTATCGGGAAGGAGAAACTTCGAACACACGAGTGATGAAGAAGGTACATTCTTTCCAGTCTGGGTTGCTCGACAATTGACCAAAGGCAATGATCTCCTCAAACTCCTAGACAGCAGACTGAATGGAAATGCCGATTTAGAAGAACTGTGTAGAATTTGTAAAATAGCTTGTTGGTGTATACAAGATCATGAAATCCAAAGGCCATCGATGGTTCAGGTAGTTCAGGTCCTGGAAGATATTTTGGATGTAAGCCTACCTCCAATACCTCGATTTCTACAAGATATCAGTAATGAAGAGGATCACATATTTATGTTCACCGACGCAACCATAAGCGTTACTTGAGAGGCACAATCCATGCTTTAGCTTTTGATGCTCCAAGTAGCAGCTTTTCATCGTTGAACTTGAATGAGTCCTGGTGCATGGAAAGAATATATTGAAAGCACATTTAACATGTCTAAACTAAGCAATAAATGTATAGTTTCTTGATGGTAGACTCATCTACTGCTGCTCTCCTTTCCCCTTCCTCGTGTTCCCTTATTATTTTTCTTTCATTTTGTTCTTTTTATGGCCAATCTACCTTTATTTCTTCTCTTAATGTTTATCTACTTCATTATTTTTTTAATGTTTTTCTATCTTATTACGATTTGATTTTCATGACTTCCATTGATGCTTAAAGAAAAGGTCATAAAGTCATTATTCCAATTCTAGAGGGTCATAATTTGTAGGTCTTCAACTGAATTTTATTATTAATTTGAACTTTCATTGTACAGCCCAAAATCAATTTCTCATATGACTAATTTTTCCAGAGAGATATATATATTATAATTTGACACGGTCTTCCTAGTATGATGAGATAAATCATACATAGATTCTTACTAAAATTATTGTGAGTTAAAATATATTTTATTTGAGCCAGAATCAGAATTGTTTTTTGTCAATAATCACGGGAAGTATTTTGCAACTTGCAATTGGGGAGGGATACGCGGTCCAATCACGTTCAAGGTTGATCTTTTCAGAGAAACAAATTTCTTTGACTTTTCTCCACTTTTATTCATAGTCAATGGAGGAAGATGACTGATATCTGTGCAAGAAAGGGATTCCACGTTAATAAAATGCCAACGTCCCATGTTCAGCAAGGAAGAAAAACAAAGGCCATAGTTGTCTTCTTCAACAATAAAACCAACCGCATACATGTTTTGCTTTAGCAGTCCTTTGACCGGTTCTTTCCTATCTTATGATGGAGTATATATTGTAACCAGATTATTACTCTTCCTTTAAAATATCTGTGTTGATTCCTTTGCAAGTAATCCGCTTTACAGCCATGGAAAACATGAAGAATCCATGGATGAAACTTTCCGTACTACTCTTTATCTGGTTTTTCAACAGCCAAATCTCCTTTGGAGCAGACACCATCACTGCAAATCAATCTCTCTCCGGTGATCAAACTATTGTTTCATCGGGTGGGAACTTCGTGCTGGGATTCTTCACACCAGGTAACTCTTCCAACTACTACATAGGCATCTGGTACGGTAAGATCCCTGAGCGGACCCCAGTTTGGGTAGCCAACAGAGAGACACCTGTGAATGATATTCACTCTTCAGAACTAAAAATATCTGATGATGGTAACTTAGTTTTGATCAACGGATCCCAAGTGGAAATTTGGTCCACCAATATTAGCTCAAGCAACTCAAGTTCTGTAGTTGCGATCCTTGAAGATGGAGGTAATCTTGTTTTAAGAGATGGTCCGACTTCATCGGCGCCTTTGTGGCAAAGTTTAGATCATCCGGCGCACACATGGCTTCCTGGTGGCAAGCTTAGCTTAGATAAACGAACCAATCGAAGCCAGCTTCTTACATCATGGAAGAATTCAGAAGATCCTGCTCCGGGTCTCTTCTCTCTCGAGCTAGATCCCGCCGGAACCAATTCGTATATTATTCGATGGAACCGGACCAGGCAGTACTGGTCGAGTGGACCTTGGGATGAACAGTCGAGGATTTTCAGAGACGTTCCGGAAATGCGATTGAATTATCTCTACAATTTCAGCTTCCATTCGGACGAGAACGAGAGTTATTTTACTTATTCGCTTTATAATAACGAGACCACATCACGATTCATTATGCATTATTCGGGGCAGATTCAGCAACAGTCATGGTTGGATAGTAGCCAGCTGTGGAATTTGTTCTGGTCGATGCCGAGACAACAATGCCAGGTTTATGCTTTTTGTGGGGCTTTTGGAAGATGCAATGAGATTGGTTTACCTTTCTGTAGTTGTCTGAGAGGTTTCCATCCCAAATGGGAAACCAATTGGAATCTGAGCGATTTTTCCGATGGGTGTGAGAGGACAACCAGGCTGCAATGCGAGGAGGATCCCAACCTTGTTACTGGAAGGACCGATAAATTCCTGGAAAGCCCCAATGTAAAATTGCCTGAAAGTGCTCAGTCTATGAGCGTTGGGAGCCTGTTGGAATGTGAAAGCGCTTGCCTCGAGTATTGCAATTGCACTGCTTATGCTTATGATAGTGATGGGTGTCGAATTTGGAGGACAGAACTCTTGGATCTGCAACAATATTCGGGAGATACTAGCGATGGAAGAACTATATATATCCGATTAGCGGCATCAGAGTTTCCGAGTTCGAGCAACAATACTGGGATCATTATTGGAGCAGTTGCAGGGGGGGTTGGTTTACTCCTATGCCTTGTGATATTTGCCATCTTGAGATGGAGGAGGTGGAGAATGATAAATCCGAAAGTTGAAGGTTCGCTTCTAGCTTTCGTATATCGAGATTTACAGAGTGCAACGAGGAATTTTTCTGAAAAACTTGGGGAAGGAGGCTTTGGTTCTGTTTTCAAAGGAACGTTGCCGGACTCAAGTATCGTAGCTGTGAAGCAGCTTGAGAGCATAAGTCAGGGAGAAAAGCAGTTTCGGTCGGAGGTGAGCACCATCGGGACGATTCAACATGTTAATCTAGTCCGGCTTCGTGGATTCTGCTCCGATGGTACGAGGAAGTTGTTGGTCTACGATTACATGCCGAATGGTTCTTTGGATGCCCATCTGTTCCTTGAAGATAAATCTAAACCCCTAGCTTGGAAAACAAGGTACCAGGTTGCACTCGGTACGGCTAGAGGCTTGACTTATCTTCACGAGAAATGCAGAGATTGTATTATTCATTGTGACATCAAGCCGGAGAACATTCTTTTGGACGCCGAATTCTGGCCCAAAGTAGCAGATTTTGGCTTGGCAAAGCTCATCGGTCGGGAGTTCAGCAGGGTCCTAACAACTATGAGAGGCACAAGAGGCTATCTTGCACCGGAGTGGATTTCGGGAGTCGCCGTTACAGCTAAAGCCGATGTCTACAGCTATGGGATGATGCTGTTTGAGATTGTATCGGGTAGGAGAAACTCGGAACAGAATGAAGAAGGAAAGGTTAGATTCTTTCCAACTTCAGCTGCTCGCGTAATAGCCCAAGACGGCGATGTCCTTAGCCTATTAGACCCCCGATTGAACGGAGATGCTCCCGTCTACGAGCTATCGAGAATATGTAAAGTGGCTTGTTGGTGTGTCCAAGACGATGAAACTCACAGGCCATCAATGAGTCAGGTGGTTCAGATCCTAGAGGGTGTTTTGGAGGTGAACGTGCCTCCGGTTCCAAGGTCCCTACAAGTGCTCGCCGACAACTCGGAGCATATAATCTTCTTCACAGAGTCATCCTCAAGCCCGAGTTCACAAAGACCGAGCAACGCTTCAAATGCGTCTTCTCAAACTAAGAGCAACACATCATCGACGAGTTCATGAATCTCGAACAGCATTGTCTTTGAAATAAAGTTAAGCAAGTTAGGTTTCTTCTTGTTAATATATACAACTCCAGTGTTGTTTTTCCATTAATTTCTTGATACGCAAGCCACAGGCATTAATAAATATGGTTTCTTCATGTTATACATACGCCGATCAACATCAATTGATGAATGAAGCTAAAAATGATGAGTTTAGCATTTTTCTTTTTACAGTTAGAAAAACTACACCGCTAGAAGGAGGGCTCGAACCTCCGACCTTGTGGTTAACAGCCACACGCTCTAGCCAACTGAGCTATTCCAGCAGTTAACATCAATTTAATTTTAATATTACATAATCATGCTTTAACTTACTGCGATGTTCCAGAGTATCAAATAATTATAGTTTAAAATGGCTATAAAGAATAAACAAACTCTACTAACAGTATATTAAATAACAATTTATACTGTAAAGTTAACACTGATGGAACCAGAAATCCAAACAATGGTGATGCGATGTGTGGAGCAGTCGCTAGGGATTATAATAGTAACTAGCTATGGGGATTTGGCAGGAAAATCGGAAGTTGCACATTACTGGAAGCAGAACTGTGGATAATACATGAAGGATTAAAAAAGCATGGATGAGAGGAGAAAGGAAAGTAATAGTGGAATTAGATAGCAAGGAAGCAGTTAACCTGATTAAAAATAGATCTTTTGAACACAAACAATTAACAATCCTTCAACGCATAGAGATTTTGCTAAAAAGAAACTAGGAAATGGAGATCGAGAACATACCAAGGGAGGCCAACCGCATCGCTGATTTCATCGCCAAACTAATGAAGAACCAACATGAGGATACTAACTTTCTGCGTAATTGCCCTAAGGAAGCTGAAGAGATTATTCTAGTTGATAAAACGGGCACCTAAAAGGCCCATTCACCTGTATTCAACCAAAAAAAATAACAATTTATACAAGATTACTAATATAAATTATTACTTTATATACTGGTAGTGAATAACCTTGTTATCATAGTTATCGAGAAACACGACGCTTAGCTACTGTGAATTATCTTGCAGTTGTTGTAGCCATGATGACCAAGATCATTATGTTGGGAAATAAAGCGAGTACGAGTAATTTCCCTATAACCAGATTAGTGAGAATGTGAAATAAAAACGGAAAAATAATACCCGAAATTGATAACGGAGTTCAACCAATTGTGCCTACGTCTCCGGACTGTTGCAGATCTTTTACTAGAGAGAAAAATTTACAGGTGTTTACAAAACACTCACTACTCACAAGCAAACTCTCTAGTATTGGAAGAAAGAAATGATTTGGGTTGATTTTGAAGCTAAATGGGCTAGGGTATTTATAGTTAAAGCTTAAGGACTAATATTGTAAATACCTTAAAGTGTGTAGTGGCTAAATGTGTAATTAACCCTATTACAATTTAATTAAAAAATTTTGGTGCCCCCTTTGTTGATTTTTAATCATCCTCAATTGAATTTTATTCAATTGAGCCGCACTCTTTGACTTCCAACAATCTCCCACTTGAAGACTGATTTTAATATGTCTTCACACCTCGATCAATGCAGCAACATTTCTGGTCTTGTTACTCCATGCCAATTGAAGTTGAACACAACTTCAGTTTGTTCGTGGTCATCGTCTTTGTCAACATGTCTGCCGGATTTTGAGCTCCACTAATCTTTTCAAGTTTCAAAATCTCATCTTCCAGAAGAGACCGGATAAAATGATATCTCAATTGTATATGCTTCGTCCTGGAATGAAAAGACAGATTCTTCGTTAGATGGATAGCACTTTGACTATCACAATACAAGATATTGTTTTCTTATTTATTGCCTAACTCTTCCAAGAAACTTTGGAGTCAAACCATCTCCTTACTAGCTTCCGTAACAGCGACATATTCTGCTTCAGTTGTGGAGAGAGCAACTATCTTCTGTAGTTGAGAAACCCAACTCACTGCGGTTCCTCCTAGAGTATAGACATACCCAGTAGTACTTCTTCTGATGTCAACATTTCCGATTAAGTCAGCATCTACATAGCCTGTCAGTATCGTATTTCCACCTTTGAAACAAAGTGCTTTGTTTGTAGTACCCCGCAGATATCTGAGGATCCATTTGACAGCTTCCCAGTGTACCTTGCCTGGATTATTCATGTACCTGCTAACAGCTCTAACTGCATGAGCAATATCTGGTCTGATACAAACCATGACATACATCAGACTTCCAATTGCTGAGGCATACGGTACCTTCACCATGCGTGCACGTTCTTCCTTCGTCTTTGGTGATTGTTCTTTGGAGAGTCTAAAATGAACACCTAAAGGTGTACTTACTGGTTTAGCATCTTGCATGTTGAACCTGGAGAGTACTTTGTTGATGTACTCAGCCTGTGATAACATCAAAGTCCCTGACTTTGTGTCTCTTTTGATCCTCATCCCAAGAATCTGCTTTTCATCGCCCAGATCCTTTATAGCAAATTGTTTTGACAATTCTTACTTTAAGTTTATAATAACTTGCATGTTTGAGCCTGCAACGAGCATGTCATCAACATACAATAATAAAATAATGAAGTTGTTGTCGAACCTCTTGATGTAGCAACAATGATCTGCTTGACATCTGGTAAAACCACTGCTACTCATAAAACTATCGAACTTCTTGTACCACTGTCTAGGAGCTTGTTTTAAACCATACAAGCTCTTCTTCAACCTGTATACCAGGTTTTTCTTGCATACCTCTATGAAGCCTTCTGACTGTTTCATATAGATTTATTCCTCCAAATCACCATGAAGAAAAGTTGTCTTTACATCTAACTGCTCAAGATGTAAATTCTCTACAGCTACAATTTTCAACATCAGTCTGATTGTAGACAGTTTTACGACTGGAGAGAAAATTTCATTGTAGTCAATACCTTCTTTTTGCTAAAAACATTTGACAATCAATCTTGCTTTGTAGCGTTTGCTCCCATTGTGCTCTTCTTTGATCATGTAAATCCACTTGCTGTGGAGCGCTTTCTTGTCTGGTGGTAATTCATCTAATTCTCACGTCTGATTTGACATAAGCGAGTCCATCTCATCTTTCATGGAAGACTCCCACTTGACTTAATCCTCCACCTGCATTGATTCATCATATCACTCTAGTTCACCATTGTCAGTCAGCAACAAATAGTGCAAAGAAGGCGAATAACGCTGGGTTGGTTTAGGAATTCTAGAGGAGTGTCTCTGTTCTGGCGCGCGTGGTTCTTCTTGAACTGCTTCAGGATTGATCTGAACATCATTTCTAGAAATCTCCTCGAACTCAGCAAATTCCTTTGTTTCAGCTTCGGTATTGGAGCTACTTGATTCTACAGTTGACTTGTCTTTGTACATCACATTCTCATTGAAAATGACATCTCTGCTTCTGATGATCTTTCGATTTTCGTAGTCCCAAAATCGGTAACCGAACTTATCACCACCATAACCAACAAAGACGCATTTTTTGGACTTGTCATCAAGTTTACTTCTTTTCAGCAGAATCTATGTGTACATAAGAAATACAACTAAACACTCTTAAGTGTGAAAGGTTTATTTCTTTATTGCTCCAAAACTTCTCTGGTATTATGCCATCTAAAGGAACTGAGGGCCCACAGTTGATCAGGTAAGCTGCAGTGTTGATAGTTTCAGCCCATAGAAATTTGGGCAATCCGGCATGTATCCTTATGCTTCTGGCACGTTCGTTCAGAGTTCTATTTATGCGCTCTGCTACTCCATTCTACTGCGGTGTCATGGGAACTGTTGTTTCCATCTTGATCCCATTGTTTGCGCAGAAATCTCTGAATCTTCTATTTTTGTACTCTCCTCCATTATCAGACCTCAACCGCTTGACTTTCAAACCAGTCTCATTTTCCACCTTGGCTTTCTAATTTCTAAAGATATCAAAGACTTCTGATTTATTCTTCATAAAATAAACTCACACCTTCCTCGTAGAATCATCGATGAATGTGACATAATATAATGAGCCTGCAAGAGATGGAACTGGAGATGGTCCTCATAATCAGTATTAGGGGTGTGCAAATCCGGGTACCCGGATTTGCGGGTACCCGATTTCAGGGTACCCAGAACTTCCGGGTCGACGATTTCTCGGCCCGTGTCCCGACCCGGATGTTACGGGTACCCGGATTTTGCGGGTACCCGGTAATCGGGTACCCGATACCCGGTTTTTAATTTTTTATTTTCAAATTATTAATTTAAAAAATATATACACAAATTTAAATATTCGAAACTTCGAATTACATACTCTAATATCCGGACATAAAATTTAAAAGTTCGAAATACAAAATATAATAATCCATAATATAAATAATTCATTATATATTTTATATAATTATATATAAAAAAAATAAAAAAAATAAAAACTAACCGGGTACTCGGGTAACCGGGTACCCGGAAAAACTAGATTTTGTGACCCGGGCCCGACCCGGGAAATGTCGGGCCGGGTACCCGACCCGGCCGGGTAATTTTTTTAGAGAATTACCCGGTTTTTTTAGATCCGGGTCGGCGGGTCGGGTCAACCGGGTCGGGTAATTTTGCACACCCCTAATCAGTATGAACCAACTCTAACTTTTCAGCCTTTAGTGTCTTGTCAATCTTTGCAAAACTTACGTTCTTTTGTTTGCCAAATATGCAATCATCGCATAGTTCGACATCTACACTCTTTAGATCCAGAAACTTCCCTTTTGATAAAAGTGTTTTCATCCCTTTCTCGCTCATATGGCCAAGCCTTTGGTGTCATAGGTTTGATTTTCCATCAGCATCTGCTACTACAATGATATTCTCTAAATTTGAGGTTACATAGAGAGTACCAGTCTTCTTACAACGGGCTATGACGAGTGCTCCTTTGGTAATCTTCCATTCACATCCTGAAAAGGTTGTACTATATCCTTCTCCATCAAGCTGTCCTACACTACAGAAATCAAATTTGTTTTGAGGCCAGGAATATGTCTCACTCCTTTCAGCGTCCAGGTGGTCTGGTTTGACAACTTTAATCGGATGT